TGCCTGGAAACTCCAATGGTAAAAAGCTTGTGAGGAATTATCACCTCTGTCAACTAATTTGCTTCCTGCTTAATTTCATTTGGGCAAAACCTTTTGTCTTGTTTTTGTCAGTTTGATGCTTACCAATTGCTATAACCTCGTCTGTTATCACTTTCATTTCTTTTGGATTTTTTTATTTTATTATTATTATTATTATTATTATTTTTTTTTTTTTTTTTTTTTGTAAAGAAGTTTCGGTTAAACTTAAATTTGGGAGTGAGTAAAAGCCTAGAGGTTGGCCTTGATATTGAAGAATTGTGGAAGAATTTTTTATTGTTCATTTTGTCTCCCACTACTGATCTTCAAGGGTTGGCTTTTGGCTGAAGCAATGCAGATATAAGAATTTTGCTGTTGAATCTTTTTCTTTCAACTTTTACCAATCTTATCCTGAGGAGCCATAGAATTTTGAATATTGATAATCATCTCATAAAACTGTTGCTGTGAGTCTGTGACCACCTCTTTTATTAATCCAGTTTCTATTGTTCCTCATTATGTTACTGAATAAGATTGCCTGAGGCTTTCTTCTAATACATAAGATTGCCTGTGGCTTTCTTCTAATACATAGTTTGCTAATAGGTTGCTATTGTCGGAGACATAAGGGAATCAATGCTTGAAGAAGTTGACTTTAATAAGGAGGCTGCAAATATTGAGGATTTCAGGAGATATTTAGAAGTCATGGGACTTTCACGGCAAGCTACAGCTCCAAAAGTGTACCAGCAGTACAGTTCCAAGCGCGTTCTTACAATGGAGAGGCTTTATGGAGTTCCTCTCACTGACTTGAACTCCATAAATTCACTTGTTCCAAGTCCAGAGGCTAGTCTTATAACTGCCTTAAATGTGTGGTGGGGCTCAAGTCATAATTTCAATATTAAAGGAAAAATATATTTATAGTCACAAAACAATATACCTCTTTTTTATTTTTATTTTTTATTTTTTTTTATTTTCCTGCAGGTTTGGTAGCTTGCTTTCCTGTGAAAGCTTTCACGCAGATGTACATGCAGGCAATTTGTGGTTACTACATGATGGCCGCATTGGGTTTCTTGACTTTGGTGTGTTTATATTCCCAAATACAGCTTCTAACCCATTTTTTTCATTAATAATTGCTTATGTCACTTCAAATAATTTATATGTGACATTCAAAATCTAGCACTTGAATGATACTTCATAGTTTATGTGATCATTCTTTATTCTTTTTTGCTTTCTTCCAATTTGGCTCTCATCACACATAAGAAAATCCCTCACTAATATTCTATAATTTTCTTTCCTTCTTCGTTCTTGTAATAGAATTAGTTCAGAGACTGGTTTCTTTACTTTTCTGGTAGCTGGCTTACCAACGTGTGTTTGTTAAATCAAAATGCTAGCATCAATTGTATACATTTGTAGAGATGGAGTGGGATACTCTCCCTCTCTCTCCCCCCCCCCCCCCCCCCCCCCCCCCCCCTCTCTTCCCACTTGTTTCCTTTCTCGAGAGAGCTTTTCTCTTTGAGAATAGCCATTTTTGTCCCACCTTTTGTCTGAAAAGCTTTGGACATAATGTAATAATTACAGCTTTTGGCTATTTAAAGTCAGTTATAGCTAACTTGTTTTCAGTTTTCTCATTGATTATATAGATGTCATGGATCGTGGGACCATAATTTTCGATATTGTTATGTAGTTCGAGAACTGATTACCTTTGTTTATCTTTTGTTTATTTTAAAGAATATTTTTGAATGTTGGGTTTTGATAAGACTCAAACTGTAAGAGAGAATAACGGAATTTATAATAGATCTTTGATTGAAAAAAACTGCAGAGGATTACAGATACGGAAAGGACATTAAGACTCCTTTTCTCACTCAATAATTGCCTATCTTCTTCCTCACCTATACCTTTATTTATAGCTATTTTTCTAATTGATTTCCCCCCAGCAGATGCTCCCCATCAGATTCTGTTTTCCCTCCCTTCTTGACTATTCTAGAATATGTAAAACATAGAGGGGGCTTATCAGGTTTTTGGTTGGAGGAATGCATTTATAAAGTCAATCGAGTTAGATTATCCACCACAGGAAGTGAAAGATGCCTTTGTACTAGTGGATAATGATTTGAAAAATTACTCGATTCATTTATTAGTTTGAACCTTTGGATCTAGACCTTTACATTTTTACCATAGGATATGAAAACATTGTTTTACTAAATAATGCGTATGGATCTGGATATTTTATGTTAGTCTATATGTTTTCAAGAGCACCTGCTAAATATCATTACTTCAGTTTTGCTCAATATACCCCTTCAATCTTATTTTGATTGCCTGCCTGAATATGCTTTCCACGTATTTCTTAGTATTAAGTTGCGTTATAGTCTTCGACATGTGTTGACTTGCTAAAGTTTCCTCATGGTGCCGCTTGCAAACTTGTAGTGTCCCTCTGTCATTAGCTAGTCTCGGAGTCTCTTTGTTTGTCTAGTCCAGGTTTTTAATTCCATGCAAGTATTGAGGGATAACACAAATGAAATCACTAAGCAGGAATTGTTGGGCGCATTTCTCCAAAAACATGGAATGCTATGGAGGTATTTTTGGGATCACTAGCAACTGAAGAATATGAGTCCATGGCATCTTCCTTGATTGATATGGGTGCTACAAACAAGGATGTGGATGTCCCGGCCTTTGCTAGAGATTTAGAAAAGATATTTGCGTCCATACAGGTAAGAATTTAATGTTGCAACAGAAGTTCTCTGGTAGAAGTCTTAGATACAACACTTAGCAGTGTTTTAATTTTCCTTTTATGAAAGTAATTAATTAGTTAATTCGAAGCTTTTTAAGGGGTAAGTCAAAAAATGGAGTAGCAAGGATTCACTTGCAAGAATTGTATTTTAAGACGTCAAAGACTTGAAAAATGGTTTAATATTCCATGTAAATCACAATTATTGTCAACAAAAATCCAATAGATATAGCAATGAGTGGAATTGAGTGGCAGCAATGGATTCATGTAGCCAATCCCAAATTTATTGGGATGAAGACTTGGTTTTCTGATTTTTTGTCATTCACAATTGAGAAAGTGATGAAATTATCTAGACTGTACTTGCCTTTGGATTTAACTAAGATAATTTAAAATCATTAATTGGATTGCTTAGGTGTCCACCATACATCTAGTTTAGCATGAGTTGAATACAGGACTGTAGCTTCAAGAGGCTGGTATGAGTCTTGGGTGGAATCAACTGCCTAAGTGCTTTATTAATGGGAAGATTCAATTGTCCAGTCAATGTTCATTGCATAAGGTCATTATAACGAATTTCTGCCTTTTTTCATAATCCCGTAGAAGAAAACTCTAGCACTCTCTAGGTTTGAAGAGGAAATAGTTTTTTCCTTGTGCTCATGTAAAGTAGATGGCTGTACTTGTACACTGCTTTACTCTTATTATATTTTAAGACATGGTATCTGATTTTTTCGCACAGGATTTGGATACAGAAATCATTGTTGCTACAGCCAGAGGAACAGACACAAATGCAACTGCAGTTTCTGCAAATGTTGCGGTTGATGAAAGACAAATGAATGCACTATTCCTTGATGTGGTAAAACTCTCCTGTTTCAAGTTTTATTTTGTATTTTGCGCCAGCCATCTTTCTGTACTTTCCCATTTGTGAATCATGATAAAATGCTGCTTTATTTTGCTTTCTGCCGCAGTTATTACACTTAAACTACCAATACCCAACCTTTTTGACTTAAGCCACTTTTAACATATTGGGCAGCAGAGCAAGCAGATTCAAACAGCCTTAATGTGTATACTCATTTATTTACATGCTATGGCATTTTCATTATCTTAATTATAACGATTTTGATATAAACAGACCACTAATGTAGGTTTATCTTGCTAGCCTTCACATTGAAGTGCGATATATAGATCATGCTTTATTATAGTTTCTTTTGGTATCCCTTCTACACGCGCACTCATTCAAATCGATATAATCTTGCTGCATTTGTTCCTTGGTGCTCAAGCTTTTACAATGTTGTGGAAGACGGAGGTGATAATAAGTGATACCGCAGATTTCTCTATTCTTTGTGCTTGACCCTTTACAGCGTAGTACAATACGTGAACAATAACAATTGATATATTTTTTGGCTGCTTCTGCGATTTATACTGTGCATGACTTCTAGATTTCCTTAAAACGAGATAGGGATAGGATGGAGATCGAGGTAAGAATAAAGATAGATTATTAGATAAGAAGTTAAATTAGGATTTGATTCAAGTTATGTTATTTAGATTAGATTTGATATTTTGAACATTCTAGATTAGTAGAATCTCTCGATTGATTTGATATTCTTTCTAGTTTCTTGCTCTATAAATAAAGGGTTCATTCATTCTAATAGACACAACCTGATTATATAAATAAAAATTAATTTCATTTGGTTTCAATCCTTTTCTTTTTAGACCCTTTTCTTTCCTAGTCTTCAATCAGTCGTCGTCAAATTATATGCTCCTGCATCAGTCACATTATTCATTTCTTGCGTGTTCTCATTTTGATCCACGTTTTCTGTGAGTTTAACAGGTTCGAGTCAGTGAATCATATGGGCTTAGATTTCCTCGGGAGTTTGCTCTTCTCATGAAACAGCTTCTTTATTTCGATCGATACACACGATTGTTAGCTCCCAATTTGAACATGCTGCGGGATCAAAGGATTTCGATCGTCTCAAATCGAAGAAGCAGAAACATTTACCAGTGAACTCGATGTGTTCTTCCCATAGTGTGTATATAATATTGAAAATTTGCTACCTTAAAAACCCATTTGAATATGTAAAAGAAATGTATACTGTACATGAAATAGATTAAAATCTTTCATTGATAAGTCTCTATTGGATTTTGCAAATGTTCTTTCGATTTGTATTGTTTCTTTTGATATATAGAAGGCAATGCTACAGAAGTGATGGTAATTTCAAAGTAAAACACAAGCAAACTGTAAAGGGTCGGTGGAACCTTGATTAGCAAAAATAACTTGTATTTCATCATATGTCAAACCATTTTTCTGTATCAAAAATTATTAGAGAACTACATATGCGACAATCAATATAGACCTTGAACTATAAGACGACTCGACTTATTTGTAATCGGCTGTAGAAAACGTGTGGAAAAGAAAAATGTAACAGATTTTGTTTTTTTCTTTTGAAAGATCGATACACACTGAATTTGATGGAGATGGTGCAATTCACAGGCCACAGCAATCAAACTTATTCGGTGACTGTATAAGTTTAAACAGACCTTTCACTTCAAGGAAGAAAACAAGCGAATCTCTCGACTCGTTCTGCTCTCAATAGCCATGAAATGATCATCTTAGGGTGATCCTTTTGTCGACGGATGCATATGCTAGGAAATTAGTTAATTTAATACTCGACTTAAGGAAGAATATCCCATAAGCTGGTGAAGTGGAAGACCTTCGAGCTTTGCAGATTCTTTCTTTGATGAAGTACTGGTTGACTCTTTGGTGCTCTTTAAACTCTCCTTGGTCTGAGACTCCCTCAAGGTGGACTTCATTTTTCTATCTCCCATCGACTCATTAACAGATGCTATCTTGTTATTGCACGCGTTCATCTGAAGCCGATCATATGAAGATCTCGTAAGTGAAGACTCTCCTTCTGTAGAACTACTTCTACAGGACTGCTCATTATCATCAGAGTACAGAACATGTTTAGCATTTGGACGAGGATTGGAACGAGAGTTTGGTACGGGGTTTCTCTTACTGGTAGCGTCATTGCAATTGTCAACCTCACTTTGCGGAGGGGCAAAAACATCAGGAATGTACTGAACTATATTCGTTCCTTTCAGAAGCGAGAATTTCAGAACTTCCCGACAAGCACTGCATCTCAGTCGATGAAATTTTTTCTCGAATAAGAGGAAGTTTGCAGGTAGCTGCAATAATTCCGAACATTTATAACAGGTGAGAAGTGGGGCTCCACCAGCTATAGGCCGGATATGTCGCTTTGCTACCTGATATCTCTCCCTCGAATATGACCTTTTCATCTGGTCATCCAATAATGAAACCTCAGAGCTCATGTAATGCCAGGGAATCGAGGAACTCGAGGCACGGGAATGAAGACTGTCATTGCACACGGAATGTGAAGAAAACTGTGGTGAGCAGTACCAGTCTTGGGGAAAACAGTGCACACAAGAGCACTTGACTTGGGGACTGGACTGTGCAGCATCCGCGGGATACGGCATTCTCGAGGCTCTGCATTGTCCGGGCCAACCTTGTACTTGACCGTGGCTCATTTGATACCTAGGAGGGTTCATACCCGCATGCATCTCCCTTTCTGGTGCTAAATTATCGTCGTACAATGCAGCAGGAAACCTTCCATCTCTCTTATCATTTGAACAACGCATCCTGTAGAGCTGATCTTCGAGTTCATAGACCATTCTCAACAAGTCCATTTTGTCTGGGTTGGAGTAAGAATGCTTGTCTGGTGAGTAAAAGCCAGGATGATGTTCAAACAGATTGTGCTGATAACTCAAAGATTTTCCTTTTCCATTTCCACTTTCGTGATTTCCCAAGAAATCGCTGGAACTGAATGCTGAGCGAGAAATACCTTCATCAAATCTTGTCCTGTTTCCACTGGTGTGGTCATATCTTTTCGTTTCAGGCAACTCGAACTTTCTTCTGGAAGGTACATGGTTGGGGATTTGATCATCGGTTCCATCATAAGATGATACACTACCATCATAAGCATAGTAAGTTCTGATTGTTGGAGATTTAAACATATCTTCTCGTTTAACGCTAAGATCAGTAATAGGATCAATAGGAGGTGAACTTCCCAAAGTATCTACTGAGCTTGTTCTGCCAAAATTTTGAGGACTTCGGGAGTGATCCATCTGTTCACTGTCGGAAGTGATGAAATCAACTGACACAATGCTCTCATTCAAGGGGCTTGGAGCAGTAATAGATACATCTCCAGTATGTGTCTTCAAATCATTTTCTTTGCTCAAGCTTCTAAAGTTCGGATGATTATTGATATCCTCATTGACTTCATTAGTTTGTCCAGCTGAATGTGACGAAGTTTCTAGACTTTTTGAAATGTTCTGATTATTAACATCATTTTCTGGTGCAAGATATCGGCTTTTGTTCCCTTCTGTGTTTTCTCCAACTTCCATTGGATCCCTTCCAGGGCATTCGTCCAACTGAATCGTATTATCCCATTCTGTATGTTGTCTAACTTCTTGAGTCGACACTTTGACCACATGACAATTAAACTCACTTGAGCTAGGAGATTCATCAGACAAGTTTCTGCCTCTACTCCTTTCCCTATTGTAATCCTGTAAAACCCTGAAATCAAATCTGTTGGTATTTTGCTCCAAAGGATATTTGGCATCGTCCGGCTTCAAAGATTTTCTGACATCAGTGGATGAATCTTTGCTCTCAAAACAGTTAATCTCAGGTGAGCTAGAAATCTCATCAGAGGGGCTTTTTTTATGTTCACCGTGAACTCCTGTGTTGTCTTTTTCTGGCGAGGATTCTCCACTCAAGAGAGACATTAAATCTTGATTAGAGCCGGTGTCTTCCTTGTCTTCTGAAACACAATCCTGTTTAGCATTTACAATAGCATCTGTTTCTTGTACGCATACATTTGCATCGTTGGATTCATTTATCTGGTTTTTAGCTGTATGAGGGCAAAAGCAGAAGGAACATGAGAAACACAACCAAAGATCGCCAGTAGAAAATAAAGCCACAAAGTATCACTATAAGGATTGAGGCATTGGTGTCATGGATTAATCTATCTTTACCACCGAAAGTAAGATAATCAGAAAAGCGCAAGGACAAATTTATAGTGGCTCACCCTCAACGTGAAAGTTAAGTCCACATTCCTATTACAGATTTTCACTACAATGAAGAAGATTAGAGAGCCTCCCTCTCTTGCACCCATAAAACCAGCCCCTTAAAATTCTTTAATGTTAGGTAGTGTCCATCACAGTATAATTATGCTCCACAAGTTGAATTATACTATAGTTACGCATCATGCACCCAACATTTGGTAGCTCTAATTCTTAATTCCTCCCATGCCAAGTCCCTGAATTGCAATATTGATCATTCTCGGGACTAGATAACAAGAAGTTTTTGTAATTATACACTTCCAACTTATTTTCAATCTTTAAATGCCATACTGATGATCCCACAAGACATCATGCTTCAAACAGTGAGATTAAGTTCAAACAAATATCAAGAGACAAAATTATACTATCCATTTATGTGATTAGTGTAAGTGAAAATGTTCGTACCTTTGATAATTGTACCACATCCTCCACACTTGTACAGAGGAACATCCGGCAACTCTGCAAGAACTTGACGGCATCTAGGACATCTAACCAGTCGGACTTTTGTGGTTGGTTGAGTAATCATTTTCACCTGATATTTGGCTGATTGAATCATCAAAGATTAACTTTTGAACTCTACTTGTAACTTACTAAAGGCCCAGGAAACAAAGAGAAGATATGTATGAACAAGTTATTCAATGTTGCTTAAATGCCAAAATCTGTTGGAAACCATGAGAAGGGAATTTTTTAAGTATTTATGTGGACACGTTCATGGCACAAAAACACATTACAACAACAGAACTGCAAGAAAATGACGAGTGTGTAAAATGATGGACATTTTCATGTTTGCCTCTCATTTATATTGTAGATTATGCTTCCACAAGAACCTGTGTTTCTCTTCAATCAAAAATCCCTTGGTGATCGACTAAGATTATTTGATAGTTCTATGTTAGTAAACGACTTCTGGTATATATCAGTAAGAATGGTTCAGAAGTCTTCTGAAGGGATATCCAGAGGCAGAATGCAGACCATTCTTTGAGTTGTAACATGTATAGAAAGTCTCGAAAAAGATCGTTATTTCTGTACAACGAACGAACAAAAAAAGGGGAAAAAATAATAATAAATTGAACAATCAACTCTGTGTAAAACATAACAAGAAAAAATTATCGCTTAACCCACAAAAAATCATCAAATCCTGCAAAACTGAATAAGTTTGTATCTTACTTCAAAAACGCTTTATTTCACTGCATTCATCAGTTACAAATTGAGATTGTTAAAGAACAAATCCACTCTTTTAGTGATTTTACATTGGTTATCTAGGAAATTTCTAACAAGTTTTTCTTTTTCTAGTTTACACAATTAAGATTTGTACGCTTTCCCTAGTCCTCTTGCATTAGACAACTAAAATAAAATCTTTTATCTAGAAAAAGGAGAACTATTTGAATATAATAAATAAAAACGAATCAAACAAATTGCCAAATTGACTTTACAAATTTTAGATCACCATTTCTTTGATGCAGCCATGGATTGTCTACAAATAGATGGATGATAGGGACAACATCAATATCATTGGAAAAATCGAAATAGATACACATTGTAAAGAAATTCAAGTAAATCACCCAAGTCATGGGAAATATTTGGGCAAATTAATTTTTTGAGAAAGGGATATATTATACAATCTTGAACTGAGGCCAAACATTCTTTCCAAATCTTAAGCCATGATTTAGCAACCAAAGAAAGATGCATAACATAATGGCATATAAACGGGCCTGAAAGATTAATTCTACGTCTGCACAGAATTTGTACAAAACCCATTTGATTAAACACAGATTAGAATCACATCAGACAATTTATCTCTCTCTTCTGTTTCTCTTGCTCTCTTTATATATATATATATAGACACAATACAGGTAAGTGTATATTAAAGTATACTATAGCGAGAAATGAACTAGAATGAAGCAAGAAAACGAGTGGAAGTGAGGAAATAGATGAACCTAGAAAGAAAACGAGGCCGATGAGAAAATCTCTTCTTTAACACAGTATTTTCGTTTTTACCATGATCTTCTTCTCCTCCTTCTTGCTATTTTCCATCCACAACTCACACACACACACACACACACACACACACACCAACCACCACAATTATGACAGAGCGCTTCTCTACCGTAAGATAGAAGCTTGTCAATCCCAAAACTAAAAGTCGAATTTTTGACTCATTTATCTGTCTAACAGAAAGTGGACACGGGAGAGAGGAAAGTTGACGTCGGCGCGTAGATAAGTAGAAGCGGGACCACAATGAATGATATCTTTCTTAACGGTACAAAGAAATAAGAATAGAATGGTGTTCAAACACAAACTCCCACGACCCTCAAGTCAAATGATTATTTTTGTCTCGCTTTTGGGAAAAACAAATGTTTGACACAGGAAGCTTGTTAGTATGTTCCACTTGGAAGCACCTACCATTTACCAACACATTTTTCTCTGTTTGACTTAGATAAATATTAACTTTTTAGTACATTTTTGTTTAAAAAATTGATAAAATACGTATTGAAAAGTTATGAATCCCTAAAAATATATAATTAAAATTAATTGTTAACTTTAATTTAAATTTTAATTAATTTTTTAGTTTAATCGAACAGGGGCTTTATCATGTTTTATCATTTTATTTTATTCAACATATCATATATGTAATAATATTTTTATATAGGTCTTTTCAATGCGTAAAATCGATTGCAAACTATACACTCAATTGTACTCTAGGAGTCCTCTAAAAAAAAATTCAAAGGATTGACCACTTATAGAGTTTTTTTCCCCCTCCAACCATGTCGTTGGTACTTGTCGACTTCTTATCGATCATTAGCATCTCTCCAGGTTGCTAGAAA